ACAATAACGATGACGATGCACTCAACGATGATAATGTCGATAATGATAATTAATAGGAGGACAGAGATCCTCGTGATGATAGTTGATATGAGCATTGTCGATGTTTGGCTCAGCGATAGGGTTTTTTCTGCTGGGGGATGACGACTCACAATGGGGAGATAGGTGACGACAACACTACCCTGCTGATGTTGATAATGAATCGTCGACAGCACAGCATGTAGTACATGCGCTTACCACTAACATTGCTAGTCTAACAATGGGCGTGATGTGACACCTCACAAGAGAACTGTGGAGGTTCCCAGTTCCTTGCTCGCCAAAGAGGAGAGAGGATGCTAAATCTGTCGTATCCAGGACAGGCCCGAAAATGATAAGAGAAGCAAGATTTCGACGCCGTGTTCGAGGCAAACCTAGTCTATCAAGTCTCCTCGTCCACGAACACACAGGCACCGTAGCAGTGCTAGGCTAGCACTGTCCCTAACTCTCATTCTGTCTTCCTTTCATCCTCCTGTATGATGTGGTAGACTCTCAAAGTTTGTTCTCGTTTTGAACCACCGCGACTACGACGAATAACCTCCTGTTCGACTATTCAACTTGACTAGCTTACAGAGCGCGCACCTGTGCAATCGACATCTGTCTTTCACAAGGCTATGTCTTCGTGCTCACACATCAGCGCAAATCGTAATTTCTTGCTGATCTCCTTTCTCATGAACTTGCCCGGTTATGTCATGCTCAGGTGACAAGCGTGCTCTCAGTAACATTCTGCAGCGCATGGTCTGCGCTGCTCTGAGAGCAGTGCTCTCTCTTCCTGATGCATTGGCCTTCCATTTTTCATGTGCTAACTCTCTTGCTCTGTAGTGTGAAGTCGAGTGATGACTCGCCATGTACAGTTGATCATCCCACTCGCCTATACTCACTCGGTATTACGAAGTCCATAAGCCGGCAACATAACAGTTGCCGAAAGACGCCATCACCTCGAATCAAGTCTGTTCTGCGTGTGCCGCAGCGGCACTGCCGCCCTTCGATCGCCCGGTGCCTCCCTTGTGGCCGACGCGATTTTCTTCCGCTGCATTCTCAACACTCCGAGTCCGCTTCTTCCTGGTCTACCATATCCCTCGTCTGCTCTCACTCGGGAGTCACCGGTTTGGGCGATTCAGCGCTCGAAGAGGTTACATTCCCAACCTTACACTACCACTTGTGAGTCCTGAGGACATCGGTGAACATCTAGACATTGCTAGAGATGTCACCACCGATACGGGACGTGAGTCTTACATTGCATGATACTGTAAACCATGCACGCTTAGGAATAGTCTGTAATACCAGTTACTGCTACGTTGTTGGTGAAGTTCACCAGGAGAAGTAGCTCGACTCCGAGATTACGCAATGGGTAGGAATGTCTTCTCGGACGAGCTGTGTCGCAGAGCCTCTTTTCTATGCACTGCACTGCACTGCACTGCACTACGGAGTTCGTATTCTCGCAGCTCTTCTTGTGCCAAACAGGCTTTCCTTCTTCAGTGGTTCACACTCGGAACTGATTATTTCTGATATCATTTGTCCGTATTTATCTGTTATATGGGTACTAGTCATGGAAGAAGAACGATGTTGAGTTGCAGGAGAGTCAATAGCTGAACTATTCTAACTCCTCTTAGAGAAGGACCGTGCAAGAGTCAGCGAAGTACACTGAGTGAACAACGGAACTGTGCCGCAACATCGCTCAGCTGTGTCGGAGAGTAGCCATATGGCCAACCACATGTATCGGCGCCGCCGATTCGGCGACAATGTCGGCCCAACACCCGTCTTATTGGTGATCAAGTGAAGCTCGACAACCAAGCTCGTGCAACGAAAGGCTTACATCGACTGCTTGCTCCAGCTGGAGTGGATAACTGGGGCTCTAGCGCGGCGCTAGTAGCGCCCGGAAGAATGAAGGTCCATTTATGGGGCTAGTTCAAGGACGAATGTATTGAGATTTACTGTTATTTTGAGCGGGTAGGTTCACCGACCAGGTTTAGGTATGCACACACCTTCACGCCTCACTGCCTTGACCACCGGGAAGTCCCAGCCCTTGAGCCGCTGGGCGATGAGTTTTTTTACCTTCTCGGACGAGTCGCCGATACGCAAGGTAGATTCTTCAGATGACTTCGGGACTGGCCTCGAAGTTGCCGCCATTGCAGCATTGTTCACCTCCACCAACCGACCAGATAGGTTCAACGCCTTCAAAGATACGGTAAGAGTAGGGAAGTCTAGGTTTAGACCCATTTTCTGGATAGAGCCCAAACCAAGAAGTATCATCGGAGATTCTGTATCCAGGAGCTTCCTTGGATACACCAATCCCTCGAGCTTACAAGCTGCTCCGAAGATCGAACATTTCAGAGAGATCTCGGAGGTTAAGGTAACAGTCGCACCGATACCTTGGATAAGACAAGGCCGATCTAGAGCTTGTATGCTATGCTTGACCCCGAGGCTAACGATAGTATCCTCAGGTATAAGGATGTGGACACTGCCACTATCGAGAACGAGTAGGACCTCCCGGCCGTAACTGGTAACTGGGACTGCTACCATCCTGCCGCCAGCTACGTGAAAAGCCGGGAACACGATGTCGGGATTCTCCTCGACAGACTCTACGTCAGCACTCTCGTCGACGGTCTCTCCCTCTTGGGATGTAACCACGGCGGCTACCACTCGCTTCTTGGGCAGATCGCCCGACTTAGCTGGGCGCAACTCTGGGTGCAAGGCCCAGCAGTTGTCCTTATTGTGGCCTCGTCGTCTACAGTGTGGACACCGCGGACCTTTCGACGCCTCTTCTCCTGGGCTGATTCCAGGATTTGGACGTTTTTCAGTCCTAGGTTGAGACCTTCGGTGACCGAAGTTCGGCCGCCCTGAGGCTTGCCGCCATTCCCTTCTTTCACTGGTTCTCCAGGAGAGAATTTCCGAGTAGGACTAGACTTATGGTCATCATTCTTGGGTTTAGATGTCGTTCCATCAGAGGCCTTCTGCGAGCCCTCGACCCCTTTGGATGTAGGTTTTGGTCGCTCTCCTTCCCAGGGGAAGCGGTATGCAGAGGCCACTTGATACGTACGAAGCCACGCCACCAGTGAATCATATTCAACATCCAATGGGGATAACCTTCGTTGTCTTAAATAGACAGAGTAAGCCGTCGAAAGTGATCGTCCAACGTTCTTGAGTATAACAACCGCACGCTGATATGGGGGAGGATGGGCTGCTCGAATGTAAGAGCAAACATCAGTGAGGTTGCGGAAAGCCTTCGTCTCCCGTAAAAGGAAGCCGTCCAAATTCTCATTCTCACCCCGCTTGATCCCTCGCCACTCACGATAGGCCGCGTCGTAGCTGATACATGGTATTTCTCCAAGGGTCAGGTGAGCGAGGATTGAACACAACAACTGTTCCCACGCTTTGCCCCATATCGCCTCATCAGTAGATCTCAGCCGAGCCAGCGCCGCTTCTCGTTGCGCTGAAGTAGGGGCTTTCTATTTGGGACCACCACCTTCTCTCAGATCATTGAGGTTGCTGAGGAAGGAGTCGGAATATGGAGTACAAACGAAAAAGGTGATGGCAGCATCTATCCGTGGTCGTCTCGAGCTCGGCTCATCGGGTCGTGAATAGTAACAGATCAATACTGCCGCTATGAGGGCTGCGTCCATAGAGTAGTAGTTCTCCAACTCCGACACAAACTCTCGTAAGGCCTTCAGGAATGCCGTCCCCTGGCTCTCCGATAAGGACTTGTCCCAGCCTTTAGCAACATATCTGCTTAGACCCCACGGTGACTTGGACCACGTCCACCATCTAATATCCTCGTAACTACGCCATTGAGCATACTGAGTTGCCGCCAGGATCTGGTTAATCACAGATTCCTCACGGCGAGCATAACCCACGGGATTGAGGACCGACTCCAGCAGTTTGCGGGCCGAAAGTCGTTGATGTGTAGTCTCCAAGGATCCCTCTTTGATGACGGCGCCCTCGTCAATATCCTCGACCCTATCTCTATCCCCATGATTGGCCGATAGGTACTCCTGGGCCTCAGAGCTCTCCGCTTGTGGTAGGTTCTCCTCCTCAGCGGTACCCAGTCTCTCCTCGGAATCTACCGACGGTGGGGGTGCAGGTCTGGATGAGGTCCTCCGGGGGGTATTACGACGTCTATTAGTGCGCCTTGGGCTTGTCATCGTTCGGCTGATGGTCTAATAACTCGGTTATTCTTGATGTAACCTCTTAACTCAAGTTCTGGGTCTTTCGCTGTACCGGTATTATGGGAGTAGACTGATAGATAGAATATCAGGCGTACGAGTCCAATAACCGAGTTAATGGAATGACAACTAACATGGATATTCGTATTAGGACGGACTGATAATAGGTTGGACGATACGACTATGACGCGAGCACAATGAACGGAACATAGCGAATTGTGATCGTAAAAAGCGCTCGTCTTAATAATCGATAACGTTCAAGACGGATAGTATCAACAGTTAGATGGGAACGAGGTCAGAGACCTCCTCGTGGTGTTCCTGGAAACTCAACTATAATGTTTTATTTTTTTCTTTTTTCTCTCTAAGTTTTATGGAGGGCTTCTAGATTATCTCCATTTGAGTGGTTTCACAACACCCTAGTTTATTGACCTTCCTGGTTGACCTGGTGTAATAACTAGGATGTTGTATATAGGAGATAGAGTTTAGAAGCGCCACGGGTTTGATAAACCAGTGGCAACCACCCAAACCTCCATATTACTGAACACAATATAGGTGGTTACAGTAAATCCATGAATAAAGAGTTGAAGCTTAGTAGTGTTGTTCATTGTCGCTAGCTTGAAATTTTGCTTTCTTGCTGTAACTCGTGTTCCTGAGCTTCCTTACTTTTTCTCAACCTCTTTTGGTGGAGGGGCGTGGGCCCGCTCCCTACGGCGTGACGACCACTTCGTGACGCACGTATTACGTGCCACGTAAGACGCTCCATAAATACACTACGTCACGTCACTATGTCACGTGACGGGTGATAACCGTAACGTCGGTTTTTCTACGAATTACCTTTTCCAACCAACACAACTCTACTTGTGTCATGGCCATTAAAGCTGACGACGACCACAGTCCAACACGAAAAAGTGCCCGTGTATGGCCCATTGGGCCTCTCAAATTGAGAGTCTCAATGTGTGACACATCAAGAGGCCCGCCAGTTATTCGCTCAATCACTGGATAATATTCACGTAGCTGTCTTAGCTGTCTTAGCTGTCTTGCCTAACTAATTCAGTTTCTGAACTTGCACTGGTGTTGTACAGAAATAGTGGTTGGAAATTTAGCGTTGCAAACACTATCACGTATTGCGTCACACGCACGGACAATTCTGGAGTCTGTGCCATAATGGCCTAGCCGGTGGCCACCTTGTGTAGCTCCTACAATAATAACGTTATAACTTCCGTGAAGGTAACTATCATAGTATTAACCGAGCATACTTATCTGACTCAGAAATTTGCAAAGAACGTGATGATTACAGCTTGTCTGTGGACAATAAGGCCTTCAATTGGTGGTTTTTCTTGAAAAACTGCCTTACTACATCTTAAATCTGAAAGAAGACCGAAGAACCTAATATTTAGGTTTTTTTCGGTTTCGGTTTTGGTTGGTCCATTGACCGAATCGAAACCGAAACATTCGGTTTCGGGGTTTTCGATTGCCGGGGCATGCTCGTGAGTACAAATGTCATCAAACCTAGCGGATGTTTCAAGACGTGTGCTGAAAGTAGCTGATATTTCGCCCCCGTTTGGTTCACAGTCTACACTCAACTTTTGCAGTGTCACGTGTCTCCGTGACACGCAGTGTGGGAGTGCTCCACGTACTCATGCACACGCGTCTTCACGCGCAACGCGTGACGCAGAGCGGCTTCACTCTTCGTATTCCGCACGAAACTGTTCTCTGAGCACACTCCTCGCCTATTGTTCGGTTTGCAAGTCGTAAACTACAACTGTATCGATCAACAGAGCCGAGTATGCTCCCGCTTCGCGATCTCGCGACTCGCGAGTCGCGAGTCGACCGATAATACAAGAATCATCAGGCGAGTTGATTACTCCAATCATCCCAATGCTCCACTCCTTGGCTCTCATCGCTTCTCTATTCATCGGTAGCTGTTCTTATGATGAAACCGGTATATCGTTGGTTATATCGAATGATCCGTGAGTTCTCTTACTCCTTTGCTTGAAACAATCCCTTCTCGATAGGTATGCCACTGTGGGAGAAAACGAAAGCTTAGCTGCTTCGAGTGGGATACTCCAACTGATGAGTGATATAATTGGAGAGCCTCAGGTCCATTGTACGAGCGCCCCATTGGTTCGTGTACAGCTAGCGGGGGCACGCTTATTGACTGTCGCTGCGTCAATAACGACGAAAGTGTTGTTGCTGGCCTTGTAAACCCCCACCTCGATGTTTCTGTGATGACGTATTCTTCTCAGATTGACAGGAAAGTAGTGAAACTCGTCTGTTCTCCAGAATGCGGTAGAAGGACTTTGAGAGAAGCTGATGAGAGCATCAGACTGTTAGGAGGGCAAGGAGGAAGTTGCCCAAGCACCACATTGGGCGGGACCGAGTGTCGATCAGGGCAGTGCATCATCGTGCCTAAAGAAGTGAGTGATGAATCATCACTCACTTCGTCATCATCATCACTAATGATGATGTTGCCGAGTTGGCAATGTCAACTTCACTTTGTGGATTATTGTTTGAGACTTTCATTCATTTCAGGGAAAATGTTCATCAGGCATGTCCATGTTTAAGTCGGAGAAGTTGGGTCCCATGTGCATGTATAACAAGTAATGGTGATTTCGAAGAGCTCACCTCCAGGTCATCATTCTGGAGTGTTCGCATCTCGAAGTGGCGTCCTTCTCACTATGTGCTATGCCAATCTATTGGTAAAGCAAACAGTCAGTCTGTCAGTCTTTCCACGTTCTTTCACTCAATCCGTCAGTCTTCATAGGTTCGTTTGCTCGTGATGGTACTTTCCGACTCTGTCCTCGTGAACATATGTGAATTGTGAAGTTCACAGGTATATCGTTCGAATCGTGCTGCGATCGTGATTCACCAGTTGACTTCCTCTTTCGTATATTCCTGATCGGACTTCCTGAGGAAAGCTTGAGAGCCCGTGAAACTACGAGTTGAGTCCGCGATGCGTAGGATCAACGATTCTGATTCGTGAAACATGTTCTGGATTTCGTGATTTCGGAGCTCTTCATGCGCCGAACATCTTACCTCCTTCAGTGGTTCATAATTGGAATTTGATTTTTCGATTTTTTTGATATTTTGTCACGAAAGGAGTGAATGTTGGGTTGCACAAGAGTTAGTTATCAATAGCTATTCCAAGAGAATGACCGTTCAAGAGTCAGTGAACGATGGATCTAGCCGCAACATCGCTCAAAATGTGAGAAAATAGGCAAATGGTCAACTACGTGTGTCGGTGACATCGCCGTATATGAACCCCTTGGGGAAAGCGAATATAGTCTATTCCAACGCTGTCCCTTACTGACTCAGTAATACTGACAACGCTAAGCCAACTGCGTGGATCACGCGTTGAACGCAGAGCATGACGATGAGAGGGTTTTAGACGTTGTTTAGTAGAACTCTCGTCGATAAGTTTGCTTACTGGACTTTTGTAATCCACGCCTCAAAGTTTTTCGAGTTTGAGGGCTATCATAGCAATACAATATAGGTACATAGCCCGTCTATGTACCTCATTTTTGTAGTATTACAATGTTCGGCACCCCAAAAAGAGCATATGCTGTTACTTCGAGCATTGTTCTGTTCAACATGTTCACGAGGCCGACGATGGGGGAGGAGATTTTCTGCTTGGAAACCTTCACGTAGTGATTGTCTCAGCAATATTCATAAGCTACAACCTCTCTGCCGAGCTATGACTGAAATCGGAACTGCTGATCACTCTATCGTCCAAATTGGACGATAGAATGATCAGCTATTGGACGGTCCAATAGCTGTGTGGAATCTGTCGGCCTCGATCAATTCCCTCCTACAACAGGAGGGAATAGATTGAGGCCGACATCTCTGCTGTTGTAACAGCAACAGCTAAGATTTGGTATTGCCAATGCGCCTCGCGTATGAGTCTCATGCTGGGCTGCCTGTGGAAAACTTTCTGTGATTTTTTATTTGTGACTACGTGCATCATGAAATGTTCCCAGGATGAGTGATCATAAACCACTAATCCCTATCGAGTGGAAATGTTTTTCCCATTAACGTATCTCCTGAGATTCTCTGTCGCTGAGAATAATAAGAAGGATAAGTGCGACTCTGCTGGAATGAAGATGAAGTCAACAATATTGCATTCGCACCGAATCCGAGAAAACTCTACAGAGCCAATAACTTAAGCGTCTTATTGATTAGGTGCCAATAATAAGCATTAGAATATTGAATGACTGATGATATAAACACAAGATTGAAATTGATCAGAAAACAGATGGAAAGATCAACAAAGGCATCTTGTCTGAGGCATGTGGACTATTGGAAAGAGAGAAGATCAGAGGTCACAGTTGCATGGCACATTAGTTGCCGAACAGACGTTGGGCAACTTATAAGTCATACAAAAGCTGCCAGGAGCGATGCTTTCGCAGTACTGATCACATCCTCTAGCTTTAGTCTCGGCGGTGGTATCGGCCAGAGTACTGCTTATAGTAGTAGAGGTAGTCATCGAGTCAGTACTTGTCATCACGGAATCGGTGGTAGACACAGCTTCGGTAGTGATCACGGGCTCAGTGGTCATCATCGGCTCACTGGTGATCATGGATTCAGTGGTAATCGCGAGCTCGGTGGTGGTCACTGACTCCTGGGGGGTCGCAAACTTAGTGGTAGTTTCGACCGGTCTCTGGCTGGTCGGTAAATCACTACAGTAGCAAGGTATATCACTTCTGAAGCAGACAGGAGGAGTTTGCCAATGGTTGCAGTAGGAGCCGGGCTCGTAGAAATCGCAGTACTGATCACACTCGAACGGCAATGGTGGAGTCCTCTCGTCTTTTGCCAGGGTATAGACGATGAGGAGTGTTAAAATGGATAAAAAGGATAGCATGTCAAATATCAAGAACTTTCTAAGAAGATACTGAATATGTTGACCGAGTGTTCAGGTTCTGCCTGGCATATGAGCCAGTCAGATCACCACCCACATTCTTAACTATAAACTAGCTGTGGGAAAGGAGTCTCGCTCGGTTGGAGTTTTCGTCGCATCACCCTTGTTGCACAATTGCTTTCACAATCACCGGTACATGGAGCTATCAAAAATGGTTCAATGCGCGTAACACAGCCTCTTCCACATGAATCTTCGCAGTGTCACTCCATTGATCTTCGAACGTGTCGCAATCCAAGGGCATTGCCGGCGCCCAATTAGGCGTAGTATGCAACGACGAGTCTTCAAAATGCCCACTCTATTCTTGAGCTATTTCTTGGCGAGTTTCGGTGAGAAGCGCATTCGGACTTCACTGTGAGTAACGCGCGTTAGGATGTGTCTTCAAGTTCTCGTGCGTATCAACTTCTAATGGTCCGGCATAGCGGCCCCATTGGACATCTAGGTTGTTGACTGATATAGTCTTCTAGCATGCCTACGCTATGCGCCATAGAGATTCCTGGACAGTATGGTCCATTGGCATAGCGGCCTCAGTCGCCGAGAACTTTCTTCAAAAGTACTGCTCTCTGATGTGTTGAGGATGACCCTTAACACTTCTCTGAAGGTCAACAAGTTGTTCGTGACAGATTTCTTCATCTGGGGCGGTTATGTCACCCCAAGATATGCCCTAATGGAGCCTATCACTCCATCTGGGGCAGCTATACCTCCTCAAGATAAGCCATAATGCAGCCGATTTCTCCATCTGGGGCAGCTATGCCACTCCGAGGTACGCCTTCTTCTTCTTAGTCTTTGGACGCGGCTCGGCCGTGTAGATCCTATAGCCGCCAATTTGGGCATCGAGAGTAGTCATCCTTCGTTAACGGAGCTGTAGTCGACCCGTACCACCAGTAAGTTTCTTTAGTTCTTGCACCAGAGTTCTATCCTTCAGCAGGATGTCCCCGCATGGGGGAGGGCATTGGATGCCCCTTAGTCGCATGGCTGCCAGAAACTCACGCCTGTGTTGGTTCCAATGGTGGCAGCGGAATAGGAAGTGGTGGAAGTCCTCTTCTTCTTCCGAATCACAGAAAGGGCATACCGGGGAGCCATGGTCTATCTTGCTCCTTGAGTACCGTAGTTGCGCCCACACACAATCATCCAGAGATTCTTACCGCCATTGATGACACATAGAGCCCTAAGAGCAGACATCGTAGGACGAAATACTGGAGGGACGTCCGAGGGACGCACGTCCTTCTCATATGCTTCAGTAGCTGAGAC